GACTGCCTATTCCAGCATCTTCTATTAGCAAGGGATGATGCATCAATTATGAACCATGAGGTCCCAGCACAGACTTGGGTGTCCCAAGCAGGAAGAGCCATGTACCTTTAAGGATTCCTTGGCTCCAGGATCCAAGAATCCCTTATAATGTCCAGTTGTGCCTTAGAATGTCCCCATTGACAACTCTGTGGCTACTCAGCAGATGTCAGTTAGCCAGTGTCTCAGAACTGGCCGTGCTTCCCCGCTGGAAGGGGCACAGCCAATGTTTGAGCCCCGCGGCAATCCCCTGATCACTGCCCAATGCTGAAAAGCCAGCAGGGCCACTGGTCCTCAGGAGCTTCCTGTCTGCCAAGTCACCAGGTGAGAAGACAACCATCTCCACAAGTAGGATAGTCCAGGGGTCCCTGCTGAGCCCACCCTCTCCCACCCACAGCTAACCAGGAGATACTGCAGAAGGTGGAGGTAGAATATGAGACGCTGCCTGGATGGAAAGCAGACACCACGGGTGCCAGGAGATGGGAGGACCTGCCCCCGCAGGCCCAGAGCTATGTGCGGTTCGTGGAGAATCACTTGGGTGTTGCAGGTGGGTTCCTACTATCCCCACAGCCTCAGCCTTGGATACCCCGAAGGGCCTGTACCCCAACGCAAGGCCTAGTGAGAAATAAGAACCCCCAGGCGGTAACCACATGAATGGAACAGACGAGAAGAGGTGGAGCTAGGAACGGGTGCCATCTGGGGTAGGTCATTTCTACAGCTCCAGCCAGGTTGGGACCCGGTGACTCAACCTCGGGTGTAGCCTAGGGTATAAAAACCAGGCAGAATGTATGTGTCCTGTCATCCAGAGGAGGTTCAGGGTGTATCCCTATGGCTCAAACAAGGAGAAGTACGGGATAAGAGCTGCTTTCTGCTGTCCTATTCTGGGGTCCACAATACAGTTTTAAATGTTCCCTTCCTGGGGCAGGAGAGGTGGCTCAGCTGTGAGAGCCATGTTGCTCTTGCTTGGTCCAGGGTTTACTCGGCTCTCGGTACCCACATGGCAGCTCACAGCTGCCTGTAACTCCAGTTCCAGGGGATCCTATGGCCTCTTCTGACCTCTGTGGGCATCAGGCGTGTATGTGGTGCACATACATGCATGCAGGCAAAACACTTATACATATAAAATAAAGTTCTAAAACTCTAAAAATGACTATTAAAAAAAAAAAACAACCCTCTCTACTCGGTGAACAGACAGCTCCTTTGCTGAAGGAATGAAGAGCACTCGCTGCAAGGTTAAAGGACGTTTTGTAAACTGTGTACATGTACACAGAGGCAGAGGACAGTCTCGGGGCTCGCCCTCAGGCTGTCTACCTCTTTTTAAGACAGGCTTTGTCACTGGTCTAGAGTTCACCCAGTGGACTGGACTTGCTGGCCACTGAGCCCAGGGCTCCACCTTCCCAGTTTACCAGGCTACCCCACCAGGCTAGCATTGTAACCTGGGCTCTTGGGGATCAAACTCAGGTCCGTGTGCTTATGAGGAAGTTCCCATCTCCCCATCCCTCCGAGAAGTGTTTGTGTTCATGGTCTCTCTTCTGTGCTCTTCATTGTCTTTCAGTCAAATGGGTTGGCGTTGGAAAGTCCAGAGAGTCCATGATCCAGCTGTTTTAGGTGCCAAGCAGAAGCCGGCAGGTCTCACCACAGTGCATCGCCACGAGTGAGAGCCGAGACCCTCAGCTGTACCACCAACACCTTCAACAAAACAATCTGAAGCTATTTTCCATACTTTTATTTTTCTATGTATGTTTTCAGCTTGGCCCACTGAGTCCTACAACAAATTTTAAATGTGTGAAATCAACACTGTGTACATTTTTAAAAATTCTGCTCTTAAAATGAGCCTCAGTCCTCAAAACAGAGGCCTTCAGTGACTGATCGTCACATGGTATGTGTTCAGTTGGGAGCCATGTCATAATAAACATAGCCAAGAGTCACTGGGCCACCGAGAGGTCATTACACCCGTCTTGACTTCATCCTTATTTTAATCACTAATGACAACCTTTTCCAATGACCATGGTCTACCTGATGCCCTCCCAGAAAACAAAACCCAAGTAGCTGTTTGAGGACTGTGCCCCCAGCACAAGGTCCATGAGACAAAAATCAGAAGCTGACAGAACCAAGATTGCACAAGGTGTAACTTCCTGGGAACTCGTAGACAGCAAAGCAGGAGGAGCCCATCTCCCAGGGTGAGAGGAAAAGGCTTACACAAGGTCAGACAAAAGTGACTCAGGGTCCTCTAAAAGGTGCCTGCCTTCAAAACAAAACTATTGTCCAATCAGGCAAGATGTGTGTGTCTTCACAATGGGATGGCTGAGTGACGCCATCCTACAGAGCCTGAGAGGGTGCCAGTGTTGTCTGGTGGGCAGTATGGGTGTTATGACCAAGATGGCCATCACTGAGCTCAGCCGGACTCTTACATTTCTGGTATCACTGAGGGAGCTACAGTGTTACGCTTACTCCGAAAACAAAATGCAGCAATCACGCAAGACAGACTTGGTATATTACATGGTTCCCAGAAGCAACCATCTGAGTACATGCATTCCAGAGCTGCCAGGGTGTTCAGGAATAACAGTCCTTCCTGCTTCCAGGGACAGAGCAGCCCAGACAGCAGGCACCTCATCATTTAGACAGATTTTTTGGTCACTGTCCCAGGGTTCTCCAGACTGAATGAGACATGTTTTAACTAGTACTGCTTCTGCTCTGTGCTCACTGCGACATCAAGGGGCCTTGAATGATGTGCCAGCATCCACTAGGCCGTCCTCAGCATTTGTGGTACATTAGGCTTTCCCCAGAATTTGGGATACACCAGGCTATCCCCTCTCTGGAGACATATCTCATTTGTGTTTTCACCTCCATGACAAAACATCTAAAAAGAACTGAAAGGATTTATTTTATCAAAGTTTCACAGATTTTAGTCCATGGCCAGAACTAGCTCCATTATTATAGGACTATAGTGAGGCAGAAACATCGTGGTGGAAGGCTTTCCATAAGGAAGGAGTAGACAGGACAGAGACGGAAATAAGGTATACTTTAAGACACACTCTCCGTGCGGCATTTCCTCCAACCGGGTCTCATGTAAAAGCCGATTACCCATGAACTCACTGATGAATCACCATTGAACTTAGGCTATTGTCTTAGTTAGGATTTTACCGCTGTGTGCAGACACCATGACCAAGGCAAGTCTTATAAGGACAACACTTCATTGGGGCTGGCTTACAGGTTCAGAGTTCAGTCCATTATCATCAAGGTGGGAGTATGACAGCATCCAGGCTGATGGTCTGGAGGAGCTGAGAGTTCTACAACCTCATCTGAAGGCAGACAGAAGACTGGCTTCCAGGCAGCTAGGATGAGTGTTTTAAAGCCCACTCCCACAGTGACATGCCGACTCCAACAAGGCCACACCTTCTAATAGTGCCACTTCCTGGGCTCAGCATATACAAACCATCACAGCCATCATAACCTATTACCCCTCAATCATGCTGTCATCTGGGGACCAAGCCTTCAACACTTCATATCCATACCAGAAAGGAGTCAGACCCAGTGGAACTCCATGGAACTTGTACAGACTGCAATAGGAAATGAGGATTCTGGGAAGAAAAAGTCCATTATCTTAACGTGAACAACAGCCTTCCTAGTGGTGGTTCCCGGGCCAGGTCGCTGGATTTATGCAGTAGGGGACAAACCCATGTCTCCCCATAGAAGTAGCGTCCATTCCATACAGTTCTACAACCGGGAAAACCACCGCAGGGGAAGAAGCACAGTTGTCAGTAGTCACTTCTATGAGGTGTTTGTCGCAGGGCTTGCCCTGTACACTTTACTTGATTGTCCCTTGTTCTATATAGAATTGTGCTCCCTCTTTATATTGAAGGCCTAACTCCCAAGACCTCAGAATGTAATTATATCTGGATACAGTTTTTTGTTTGGTGTTTTGAGACTGGGTCTCTCTACCTAGCTCAGGCTGACCTCCAACTCAGGGATCAGCCTGTCTCTGCTTTCTGAGTGCTAGTAGGATTAAAGGCATGTGCCAACACACAGGGCTCGTGGAATTTTGTCTTAAAGAGTTAAGGTCCTTAGGGCAGACCTTAATTCAAAGTACTGGGTGTTACTATGGGATTAGGGTACACAACCATCCAGTAAGCACACAAAAGTTTCTATCTACAGATTCAGGAAGACAGAGGCCTGCCGAGAACTCAGTTTGATCTCTGAGACTTCCAGTCTCCAAAATCTGGAGAATTAACGGCTGCCGTGTGTACACTCCGGGTCAACCGTACTCCAAGATGAGCACAAAACTTAATGCACCCGAATAACTAACTCTGACGTTCCGATTGTGTAGAGAAACCCCTCCGCATCATTGTTTTGTCTGTTCAAAGACCTCACGAAGTTTTAAAATCATGACTAGGGGACCCGCAGGTGATGCCATAAACCCTCAGGCTCGCTGCCCAGATCTGGCCTCAGGAACACAAGACGAACTCGCAGGGGAAGATGGGTGCCCGGATCTACTACGAGTAGTACAAAGCGCGCCACTCTACTGTTTGGTACGGGTAACTCAATCCCATCGCCTATCACCGTTGCTTAGCGACGACAGAGACGTCTGGCTTTTCGTGCGCTGAGCCCCGCCCTCGATCTCCGGCTGGTTTACCCAGAGCCCTTTAGCCCATGAGTCCCGCCCACGCTGTAGCTTCCCGCTAATCCCGCGCCCCACCCCAAAGCCCCGCCGCTTAGTTATCGGCCTATCCTGAGCTGTGGCATTCAATAGCCCCGCCCCAACACCGCCCCCCAGGCCTATCCCGTGCCACGCCTTACGCAGACCCCACCCTCCCGCGCCAGCGCCTTTGGCCTTTTCCCGCGCCCCTGCATTCCACTCACTGCCTCCCTCAGCCTATCCCACGCCGCTAACTGCATAAGTCCCGCCCCCACCGTCTCCTCGGCCTATCCCGTGCAGCGGCCCGCTTGAGGCGAGCCTTAGCCTTTCTCCGGCCTATCGGGAGCCGCGCCCTCGTCCGCTCGGGCCTCAGCAGCGGCCCGAGTGCGCTGTGACGTGTGTTCGGCGCGCTGTGCGCTGCCGTGGTCTGTGTGTGGTACCCGCTATCATGCCCAAGCGGAGCTGCCCGTTCGCAGACGCTGCCCCGCTTCAACTCAAAGTCCACGTGAGCCCGAAAGAGCTGAGCCACGGTGTGTTCGCCGAGCGCTACTCGCGCGAGGTTTTCGGTGAGTGTGGACTTCCGTGGGTAAAGCGGGTTACGCCGCACGGGGCAGCGGGAGGCTGCTTCTGGCCGCTCTCGGAGAAATCCGAGTGGAAACCGAATCCTGCCGAGCGGACCAGCCTAGTGCACGGCAGGCGGAGGGACTGGGCCGACTTTCCAGCGGATGGATGTTGCTGGGCATCGCTTCGCAGTGATGACTTTCTGGGGCAGGTGGGACGCAGCTTACCTTAGCTTGGCGCGGTTGACAGCTGTATCATTTTGAGTGGGGCCGCCGTGCCTTTGGAATGTGCGGGAAAGCAAACTCCCTACTCGGCCCCAGCAGTTGCCTTCTCCCCTTTCTGTACTCTGGGAATGCAAACTCGAGTGCTGAGACTCAGGGGTGATGCCTCAAGTGTGAGGACTGACTGAGCTGCAAAGAGTATGCCCCCACCCAAAAAATATAGACATGGCCGGGCGTCGTGGCTTGTCTTTTGATGCCAGCACTCAGAAGGCAAAGGCAGGTGGATTTCTTGAGTTCGAGACCAGCGTGTCTTAGCACAGCAATAGCAGAATGCAAACGGCCCAGAAAAATGCCTCAGCCGGTTAAAGTGCATTCTATGCAAGCCTGAACCTGACTCAGGTCCCAGGAATGTACAGTAGGAGAGAATTGATTCCTGAAATATCTTCTGACTCCACTCATAATAACTAAGTAGCCAAGTAACTTTAATTTAAAAAAAAAAAAAGAAATGTAAGCGTGCAGTTGAAAAGAAGATCTAAGTGTTCATTGGAACCTAACAGCCTGGCTAACAGTCCTTTTCAGGACTTATGTCCTGGAGCGCTTGCCAGGACCGTTCAGAGCCAGCCAGGTCAGGAAGGCGTGCTGGGCTCTAGGATGTTGGATAGTACACACAGTTTACCAAGCCTCAGCCTACACTCTGAACTCTGGTGGACCAGGAGTCCTTGAGGAGAAAGACTGCTGTGGACATGGAATTCTTCTCATGTCCCTTGTTTTTCAAACAGGCTATCACAGTGTATCTTAACCCGGCCTTGAACTTAAGTAATTCTGTCTTTTTTTTTTTTTTTTTTTTGGTTTTTCGAGACAGGGTTT